GTTCAGGGAGGGGCATGCCCCCCTGAATTTTATCCTAATTTGATGTTTTGCAGTCAGGTTGCATCCCTACTTTGTGTAGCCTATTTCAAATAGTATTTGGTCATCAAGACTTCTGGATTTCTTCTCAGGATGTAAACAAATGGATCGTGGACTTTAACGAACGGAACTACAAGATCACCCTAAAGTTCGCTATGGTTCAGTGCTCATATATTATTATAGATCTAGATTATTATTAGTCTTAGATCTAGATCTAGCCTAGCTAGAACTTGAATTTAAATAGTTTAATTAAGTGATTGGAAAATATTGTGAGAAAGATTAGACAGCAATATTTTAGCAGCCAGCAATCTGTAACTAAGACAGATGCGGCCTCTTTGAACATTAGGTCATTAGCCAGCAGACCACCTCTAGATCTAGATCTACTCCGGTAGGAAGGGAGGGGGGGTGCAGGGGGTTCACGTATCCTAGCTGCTATCGCAAAAATAATGTTATCGATCCAGTATTTCTTTGTGTCATGCAAAAATAATAAATAGATCTACATCTAGATTAGATCTAGAATCTAGATCTAGTTTGTGACAGTTTTTAGCGCTAGATCTAGATCTAGGTGGTCTGCTACTCTTCAGTTTTTTTTTACTTATGCACCCGTCTCAATGTTCAGATTTATAGACTAGAACTAGAGATCTAGATCTAGATCTAGATCTACTTCTTTTTTAAAGTCTAATCTAGATTTAGATCAGGATTCTAGATTAGATCCAATCTAGACTCTCTAGACCTTAGACCTACTAGATTCTAGATCTAAACATGAATATAATTATGGTCTTCATTTTTCCTGCAAATCAATAGTTGTTGAGTTATTGATGTTTGAAAATAGGGCGCTTTTTCGGTAGTTCCCACCCCCCTTATTTGATAGAGCCTGACCTACATCTAGATCTATATACGTTTGATTCGCGGCAAGCTAAGATGTCAAACCTAACAACTGCAAAACATTAAATTGTAATAAAATTCAGGGGGGCAAGCCCCCCTGAAACCCCCTTACTCTTGGGGCCAAAACCGGCGAATAACAAATGCGGGGTGGGAACTACCGAAAAAGCGCCGAAAATAGTAAATTCAACAATATGGGGGGCATGCTCCCCCCCCCCTGCATTTCACAATGATTTGATGTTTTGGCAATTATTAGGATTGATATTTACTTGTGAAAACAATTGTGATTTGCAAGGGTTTTAGTGGCCATACGTGTGTTCTACAGCAAAAATTATGGCAGTTTAGCCCTCAAATCAATGATAATGCATCTATGTGTGGGTGCAAAGCAAAAATTTACCTAATCTCCAATTTTACCGATAAATGCAATTGTTATTGTGATGATGTGCCTATAAAAAAACCCCAACAAAACAAAATCAAAACAAACCCAACCCCTTTCACTTTTTAAAGTAGGTCATGCACATGTTTCCCAATTTTGTGGGTCAATATTTAGTTATGCATTGGCCAAAGGTTACGGCACGCTTAAGAGTGTAAAAATATGTCAAATCTTTCCCTAAATATTAATTGGTTTCCTTTGGAAAGAATACCTGATTTGGAGGCATTTCCGGAGTTATCGGAAACTGTCGGCGGCATTTTGGTGCTTTTATGTCTAACCACAGTAATTCCACGTCCGATGTCAGTTCTGCTGTTTGTTCACTCCTGGTGAAAGGCTTCTCAGCTAGACGAAATATCGGGTCAGTTCTTGCTTTATATAGGATATAATAGCGGCAACTGCGCATGAACGGATATGCGTCATTGTACATCCTCTGCAGTCGTGGAACTCTTTTCCTTTGATTCAATGCAATAGAGGGCCTGGACCTGGACAACATTGTTGTCAGTTGTTCGTCCTGTAATTCATTAGACAGTACCCATCAGTGGTAAGCTGTAAAAAATATAACCTCTGTCTCTTATTTTTGGAATTATAGTTCTGTTGTCTGTGAAAGTATGGATCTAAAACTAGACTTCTAGATTCTAGATCTATTTCGTCTTATTATTCTTGTTCACTTGGTTTTCACTTCTAAAATAGACTGAGACAAACTGTTAAAAGTCGGATGTTGAATGTGAAGTGAAGGCTTTGCCACTAGAGTCTAGATATCTAGATCTATCTAGATATCCAGATCTAGATATATCTAGATTAGATTTCTATGTCTAGATTCTAGACTCTAGATCTAGATCTAGATATATATATCTCTAGCTAGATCTAGATCTAGAATCTGCTTGTTTTCTTAGTAAGTTAATAGTCTGCCTGCCTTGGCCTAACCTAATCTAAGAATGGTAGATTTCTAGATCTAGATCTAGATCTAGATCGAGTCCAATGTTGTTATATGTGTAGAATGTAGGGTGATTTTATAGTTTCGTTCGCTAAAGTCCAAAGGGTGGGTAATACTGAAAAAGCGCCAAAAATATGGGGAGGGGGGGGGGGGGGGGAGTGTCAGGGGGTGCTGTCTGCTGTTTTGTTGTTATTCAGTACCAGTAATATTTCACTTTTTAACCACGGGAGGAGGGGGGGGGGGGGGGGGGGGTGTGCACTAAGGCGTCGTTGTTAAATATGGGATTAAATTTATATTTGGGCGGCGGGGGGGGTGGGGGGAGGGCGCGACAAAATTTATTTTTGTTTAATAGCATGCCTTCCTTTTGAAATGTGTAAAAATTGTCTTTTCAACCATTTGTGTAGGTTATCGCTCATATGAAATATAATCAGAAGCTATTCAGATAACTATTTGGGTATGCTCAGAGTTTTTCCTCAATTAAGGGTTTTTTGTTTTTGCTTTTAAAAAATCACAATTTAGAACAAAAAATATTGTAAAGGTTAGCTCCGCTTTCCCTTAGTTTGTGTTTTAATCCTCCTTTTGAAGATAGGGATATTTTAAATGTGAACATACTTTGGTATCCCCCCCCCCCCCCACACACACACACACACAGGAAATCAGCAAGCACTCAGTTGTGTGGTGATGATGAAGTCTGGGTGAAACCCAGGCTGTGACCAGATCAATGCTAGCCCGCAGGAGAAGAACCAACTCGGGCTCTGACAACCAGCAGGTTTCACCGGCAGCTAACTACACAGGCCAACAGTCTTTCCAGGGTCAAGGGCAAGCTTACGGTAGTGGCTCAAGAGGAAGTCACCGCAACACTTCACTGTCTCCATCACCTTCACGTCCTCCTCCTCCTTCACAACCACTCATTGACCCAGACATGACTTGCCGCGATCGTTCGAACGAGTTTATGTCTGTTGTGAAGTCACTTCAGTCTAGACAGGTATTCCTGATGTTTCAGCACTATTTTGTTTTCTTTGTGTTTTGTATTTCATCAACTTGGGGCTGTGATTGGGTGGTTCAATGGTGCCACTGGCAGATCCTATTTCTTTTCTTTCCTACTATTCTTTGTGCTGGTCTATCTTGCTTTTTCCCTGCACTTAGTGACAGTTATCGTGTTGATGGATCTGTCACAGCACCTGAAAGATTCACATTATAAGAGATTTTAAGGGAATGTAGCTGAAAAGGAAATCTCTTTCTATTTTAGTAAAAAAAACTACTTTTTTGTTGCATCACTCTTTCATCTCGTTCTTTTTTCTGGCTTATGAGTGTTAAATGATACAAACTTAAAGCTAGTACTAGTGAATGTAAAATAAACAAATCTGTTGGCCTGCTAGCATGATATTGTTTTACTTTGTAATTTTCAATACTGTTAATATTTTCTACAGTGAAGGCCCTAAGGGCTGTTCTCTTTATGGTGTATGAAATTGAAATGTATTATTTCATATCTCTAGGGAAATGGTGCTGTACCGAACCACAGAAACAGGGCTTTACACCAGCGTTCTGAGTTCACACAGATTGCGAAGTGAGAATCTTTTAATATGTATTGTTAATTTCACCGCAATATAGTGTTAGTTTTTCGTTTCCCTGAAACTGAAAGATGTCTATCTATGCTAAAAAAATCAGTTGTGGAAGGTGAGGATTGTTTTCAAAGGAGGCTCCTTTTATATTTTTAACAGTCTTTTAACCGGCATGAGATGTTTAAAGTTGCTCAACTGTCTTGAAAATACTTTTTTGTAATCAAATTAAGTGTTTCTTGTCCTGCAATTTATTGGTTCATTCATTTTCTCTTTCTGTGTCTGTCTGTCTGTCTGTCTGTCTGTCTGTCTGTCTGTCTGTCTGTCTGTCTGTCTGTCTGTCTGTCTGTCTGTCTGTCTGTCTGTCTGTCTGTCTGTCTGTCTGTCTGTCTGTCTGTCTTTCTTTCTTCCCCCCCCCCCCCCCCTCTCAGAAGATGGTCACCAAGTGCTTTGTTGTTGTCTGGTTCATCCCTCCCTCTATCTCGGAGCAGGTGGTCAACTTTACTTGCTCTCCCTGCCCTCTCTTCCCCTACCTCCCATAGTATAATTTGATCATGTAGTCGGTTTGGTCGACAATTTAATTTTGATTTTGTTTTAGATATATTGTCATTGTGTTTTTTTATTGCTTTTTTTCCACAGGCGCATTGGCAAAGACCTCGCAAATACATTTGCTAAATTAGAAAAGCTCACAATATGTAAGTAATGGTTATATTTTTGTTGTTGCTTATTTTGTAAGCTGAGGGTGCAATATTTTCAAATGAAATGAAAATGAGTATGAAGGTGTGTGTCGGCAGGTTTTTTGTTAATTCATTTTCTGCAATCTTGATTTGATGTTATCTGGCACACATACTTGTAGTTTTTCTTCCATGATCAGGTTTTAAAAACTGCTGCCATATTCATCATTGCCTTTCTCACCCTGGTTCAGGGTATAGGCCACAAACAAACTTTCTGCCTTTCTGTATCCTGGGCTAGCCTCTTGATGCTATTCCACGTCTTCCCACTATTATGTACATCAATTTCTGTGACTCTTCTACACGCTGCTAACATCGTGACTGGATTCCTTTTGTTTGGAGGGGGGGGGGGGATGAAATACATAAATGATTTTTTTTTTACTCGGAGGTTATTTCGAGATTTTAAAAAAATACTCTTCAACTGGTCTGGTCAGAAATTGAAATAAGATCAAATTTCCTTCTGTTTTGGTTAGCTCTATCCATATTGTAGTGAATGTGGTACATAAATGGTCAAATCTGATCTTGGACCATCTGTACAAGTTACCACTTCCCACTTTCCTCCTTGTGGTATTTTTCTGTTTAATGGCACTGTCCATGATGACCTCCTGTCCAACATGACCACAAGTGCTATGTTATCAACCAATAGCCCCCACAACTTATTCAAGACCGCCACTGAAATTTCTCATCCCCTGACGTGTTGCGATAAATCATCAGCCACAGATGCTGTGGACCATTAAATATTATTATAAGCCCCTATTACATTTGAACCGTTTTCTGACAAGCACATTATATAGATGAGACTAGTGGTCTCTCTTACTGTTTACCAAAGTTGACCATTTGGTGACAAATTGTCAGCTGCTGATAAGTGAGGTATGTGAACCAAGAGCAACAAAAGAAACCCAAACATCTCTTTTACACTCAAGACTTTAATATTACAAGATGTCTTTCCCGCCTATGGCCGGGTACCCATTCCCACGTCGATGAAAAGAGGAAAATTCATACAACATAGGCTACCTCTACCAAGGACACAATTTTGGCCCCATGGCAGGGTTCAAATCCATGAGCCTTCAGTCACAAAGCATAAATGACACTTCTGTTCTTGCAAACTACTCCAAGTAAGACTTGAATTTTGTGCTCCAAATTATGCATCTAGGATATGAGATCTAGTTTTAGTCTTGTTCTATAAAAAACTATGCTCCAAATTCGCACCAAAATTTGAAAATGTCAATACAATGAAGTAAACATTTTGTGGGTCTAAACGAACTCAATGTGTTTGGGACATACTACACCAAATATATCCCCCCCAAAAAGTCAATATAAGGAAGTTGGGCCTGAAGTATCTATCGACACTGCGAAGCACTCATCCAAACAGAGTTGGATATCGAGATTCTAGTTCTGGAAATAGTACAAACAGCTGTCTCACAAACACGACGAAGCATGAACCGAAATGGAAGTAGTCCACAGTAAAATATGAAATGGCTACTGGCAGTGGCAGAGTGAAAACATCCGAGAGCTTCAATTTACAGGAAAAATCATCAAACCTGAAAAATCAAAAGGAAGGTTCCCAACTTTTAAAATATGCCCACGTAACCCTTTGTGACAATTATTTACTGAATCATATTTTTGTAGATTTTATGGGCACCTGTGTAAAAAATGTTTTCTCACCACATAAAGGGGCTCAGCTTCATTATGATAAGATAATGTATATATTTATTCGTGGGGCCCAGACTCATAACATGCTTGTATGTCCATGACACTTACTGAAAACACACACTGACAGACCAACTCTAAAGGAAAACATACTTTTGTAAGCGAAAGTCTTACAGTCTTCTGCTTGTTTATTCCCTAGTGGCCAAAAGGAAAGCCTTGTTTGACGACAAGCCTCTCGAGATACAGGAGCTGACATATATCATCAAGCAGGACATCAACAGCCTCAATGAACAGATTGCTCAACTACAGCAGGTGAGAAGGTGTTCTGCACCATACCTTAGGTCCCTTCGTTCTCCATCACTTTTAGCTGACCTCTTCTTGAGAATGGAGTCAAAATGATAGTTTTAGCTCTCTGTTGAATGTGTTAGTAAGAATAGTGGTCAGTTTTAAGTTCAAATAGGTATAGTCAAACCTGTGTAAGACAGCCACCCATTGTCAAGGAGAAAAGGGGCCGCATAAGACAGGTGGCCGTCTTAGGCAGGACTGATCAAGATGAAGAAAACAAACCATTCCCATCTGAGGTCCCACTCGAAAGTAGCCGCTTTGTTGTTGTTGGTTTGTATTTTGTTTGTAATTTTTATTTTGATGCTGATTTTGCACTAGGGTGACAGTAAAACGAAATGTATCAGACAAGGAAGACCGAGTGCCATGTTAAAACAAACACTTGGGTCGCCACCATTTGGAGACTGAGCTTCAGTCACAAGTGCATGTTGACATCCATTGTTACTTTGCTATAGTCACAGACTGGGTAAACAGTGACCACTCATCTCACTTACGATTTGTGTATGAGTTCTGGGCGGGGCTTATGGGGTATGAGGGATCACATGCTTACCTCACCAGCAGCTGAAAATTGGTAGCTATTGGTCAACAATGGGAGGTGCCTACGCAACATGATCCGTTGGAGGGACTACCTAACAACAACGACAGGTGATTGAATTATGATGGCTCGCCCACAACGACAGGGGCCAATGCACAATAATTTATGACAAAACGTAATGAGTAATGGAGTCACTAAGGTGGCCATCTAAGACCGGTGTTGTTGCTTAGTGTGATAGGGGTTGTGTGTTAAATTATGGTGGCCGCGGCCGCGTTGGACAAGTGCCCGTTTTACACAGTTAAATTATATAGAAAAAACGCAAGGGGGGAATTGGAAAGTGGCCATTTGTACAGGTGGCAGTCTTATAGAGGTGACCGTCAGGGCAGGTTTGACTGTACTTGTTATTCTTCTTCTTCGTGTACTGAGGATGCCAATCCTCTTTGTGAATGTGGCCTCAATTTGGATGGGGGGATAAAAACCAATACCCCCGGGGCAGTGCCACTGACTGTAGTGTCTTTAGGCCATTCCCAAAAGGAGACATTTCTCGTTCAAGCATAGTAGAATTGTAAATGGGCTGACTCATGTCACGCTCATAACTGTGCCTGATCTACAACAGGGAACTGCTGCTTTTTCTTTCTTGATCCTTACTATTGTCATTTTCCTCTACTTCCTTTGTATGTTTGTCACTCTCTTGTGACCTGCTATTTCTGGGATGCCTTGATAGTCGAAGCAGACCTTGTGCTGTTGAAGCTAGAGAGGTGAGCAGTCTAAGTCTGATTCCCTGTAAAGACTTCTCTGTTGACACCCACCCCTTGGCGCTCATATGACCTTATGCAGTTGCGAGTGCCGTAAAACCCTCTACTAAAAAAAATAAATAGAAAAAACCTAGCAACTGGTGTGATAAATTGAACATTCCTGTTGTCCCACTTTTCAAGTCAGTGGAGGCATCTAGATGTCTATGGCACTCCATATTTTACTTGAAACCACTTGCTTTTTTGCCCTTTATGTCTGTTACAACAAACGCATTTTTTATCTGCTTGACAGGATGTCGATGTCTGTCTCTTGGAATCAAAATCTTGGTGTTCAGGTATTCCATAACATGATACATGATGTTATGATAATTATTTGACGAGTAGAGTTTTTAAGAAGTATTAGATTTTTTTTTCCAATTTGATCGTAAGTCAGAATGTTCATGAGGTTTTTCTTTCCCCCAGTTGGCCAGGTCACAGAAAGCTCAGAATGGCAAACACATCCAGACACATTCCAACACAGTCGTGGTGGCCCTTCAGGTATTGTTGTTTTAGGTGCTCTTGTCGAAGTAAATTTGTTAGTAGTGAGAAGAGTTTGTTTTTACATGTTTTTGTGGGTTTTTTTGTTTGGAGAGGAGTTCATTGGTTCAAACAATGGTAGATTTAACAGGGATGCCAACTAGTACGATTTTATGTATTTTAGTGCGATTTTTGCCGAAAATACGCGAATATGACTTTTCATGAAAAAATATGCATTCTGGAATGTGAAAAATATGAGAATGAGATTCAGCTTGGGCGAGTAAACCTTATTGTCTCAAGCCCCATCTTTTGTCAAAATAGTAGCCTATCCGTATCATGGAACTGGAATATTGAAAACCAAGTCCGATAGGTCAGTTTTTGCCGGTCGCGATTGTGACATTATATTCGTTCAGCTTTTCCCCGTTCGAGAGTACATTTCACTTTCACGCGAACAGGCGGCTATGGCGGCAGGCGGAAGCGTATGTGACACCGAGGCTCGTTCGGGAAAATCAAGATCTACTTTCGCTTTCGTTACCCCCGAGAAGTTTACCAGCAGTAGACTGGATAAAGCAAACTTTTGTGACATGCAGGTTGTGCAGTATAAATGCTGTGTCGCCGTGCAAATAAAATTTAATCAATACTCGGACTCGTCTCTGTGCTGTCACTTGTGGGAAAAAAAGAAAAGAAAATACAAGCGTCGTCCAATTTTTAGATTGTCTGGCTCGCCGTCGTGACCGGTCAGTGAACCTGCAAGCATTCACACCATAAATAAAGACATCGTGTGAGCAAAGACTGTTTTTGGTGGGAGTAACTGCGTTGCGAAGTATAGGACTATGGAATAGGGGAGGGGATTATTGATTTTTTTTTTTTTAAAGATACACTCGGGG